ATTTTGCAAAAAACAATTATAAAAACAATCTGAGAAACTTTATTTCTTAACCCTTTCATTATGGGTAGGTTAAAGTGCACATGTTGTGACCTTTCACAGAGTTACATTCAAAATTTAATTAATCTACTTTATTATCAATGTATATGAATTTGGCATCATGTATGTAGTTAATAATTCAAACTTTAATGTTATACAAGTTTTAATTTCTCAATCTCAAAAGGAAATATTTAAATAAATCACCATTCTCTCCGTATATGAGAATTAAGACATTCGTTTTCCAAGTCTTGCCTATTCTCTAATATAATTAACACCCCTCTTTGGAGGATAGAGTTTAACATATATTACTCATATAATACAAACATTACTAAGGGAAAGTCTAACTTTGTTTACGGAGACAGAGAAGAAAGTCAGATCCACTTGCCACACCCATCTGTCACAAATTGCCAATAATTCTCTCCTACATTATTTATAACCAATAGAAATGCAAAGTTTTAAGCTATCAAACAATGTATTATATTACACTGTTTTCAGTATAAAATATTATCTATTTCATCTTCAGTTTGAAAGTCTCTCTCCCAGTGTTCATATCAAGATGCTTGACTCTTCCAGCATGAGCTCTGTCCCTGGGACTGACCTCATAACCATTTTGCGCTTGTTATAGTTTTCATGCTATAACTTTTAAATTAGCAAGTGTATGTTAATGAAATTTGGTAGATTATAAGTAAACATTACAATGCTTTCATACACAAAACATTAGTTTTTTTATTAAGTCTTAAGCTTTGTTAAGCAATGTTTTCTCCTGCCTTTTTTTTTATTTTCACAAACAGCCTATCTAACATGCAAAGTAATTTTCATTTTAAGATTAAAAACACTTATGCATCATAGAATTTTAAAATTTAATATGCAAAATCTATATAATATCCAGATAGTTATCAAACATTTCTTAAGAAAAAACTTTATATTTAATCTGTTAATTTCACTAACGAATCTCTGTACAGGTTCAATAGATTTGACCAATCTTGTAACCCCCATAAAAAAATTAGGAAATAAATATAAATTATGCCTCTTTCATTCTAGAACGACAATAAATTATAAGACAAACTTAAATGTTTAGTTTAAATAGCTTAAATCTCATAACATAATACATTTATATATTTTATTATATTGACCTTTCAGCCGTGCCTGGCTAACAACAGAGAAATTACGATGACGTGGCACACGTGCTCTCATGTTACCGTATCCAATAATATAAAACTGACCTTTAGTCTTTACAAAGTGACCTGTCTTAGCTGTGTTTTAGTAGACTAGTATTTTGTAAAATACAGTCGCATTTCAATTATTATACATTATATGTATATAGATTATTGCTATGTAGAAATAAGTTTTTAAACTTATTGTTCTTAAAATATAGAACAGTAAATAAAGAAGTAAAGCAAACAATTATCTCTTCAAGTTATGACCTTTGTACTCAGTTGCTACTTGACGTAGTTTGCTAAGCCTTTAAAAAAATTGCACGTGGAGGATATGAAACAAAATATTTTTGTTTAGGTTTTATACATACATTTGAATAACTAAAAAATCATAAATTACTACATTAATACCATAGAATTCCGCTATAATTTATCTAGCTTAGTAACTAAGATGTATTTTAGTCTGAAAAAATATGAAATATCGAGCAGACTAAAGACACACCCTACCTCGTTGAAATCTTGATTCGAAAGAATGAGATGGCATACTAACACTTTAAAATGGCTGAGGAAGCCACTATGGGGATATTCTGAGCTTTTGATTGGTTATTCATGTCATATATTGAAGTAAGTCTATGTAAGGGACCGTTTCCAAAAATGAAAAGAGGTGAGCGAGGCCACTGTGTTTGATTTAGTACATGACCAATATCTCAGCAAGTAGAAAAGATAGGAGGTTCATATTTTATATTCTAGCTTGTCAATATCTGTAATTTGAGTTTCTAATTCATATTATACATTATGCAGTTTCTTAATTTAAAAGTAAATATTAGAAAAGAATAGTTAGACATCGATTTTTGTGTATCGCATGGTATGTTGAATGCAGCACTGGTTTGAATTAGATGTTTGTACGGTCAAAATACTAAACTTTGAATTATAATCTACAGTTTAATACCAAAATTATAAATTCATGAAATAGTAGTTCAATAAAATTTTGAATGCGAGTCAACATACGTAATGACATGGCCTTTGACCAGTGACCCGTCTGGAAAGGGTTAAGGAATTATTTTAAGGCTCTTATGCCATAGTTAAAAAGCCAGTTAAATTATAAGAGTTATAGGACATTATTTGCTTTTTATGTGTTATTATGTGCATTATTTAAGTAAAAAACATTATTTAGTGTCCTAGTAACATCATTATAAAAAAGTAGGTTTAAATTTCATCAGAAACCAACAGCATAAAAGAAAAAAAAAGAGATCATAGGTAAGTGCTATATTTCTTATTTTTCATGTATATTTCTCATTTATTGTTATAAAAGTAACTAAAGTGTAAAAATTACAAGTTTATTAGGTTACATAAGTAGCTTGTGTGTTATGTCATTCAATATGGTAGCTTAAGCAGTGCATTCAACAACATATATGGAAGGATTATTTTAGTTAGACACGGTTAAAAGGGTAATAAAACAATAAAATTATGTATAAACATATGTAAACTGTTACAAATCATAATCTGTTGAGGATAAATAAATGTAATTTCCTGTTACAATTTGCAGTCATTCTAGAAAGAAAATAATTGAAATTTAGATTTATTTTTTAGTCTTTTATGGTAGTTACAAGGTCGGTCTAACCAACTGAGTCCGTATAGAGTTGGGGTAGAGAAAATGATACATAAGATATAAAGTTTAACTGAAAAAATGTTTGATATTTATTCAAGAGGTTTTACAAATTAAATCTGAAAATTTTCTGATAAAGAAGTATTATTAATCTTTACATGAAAATCACCTTGTACTCGAAGCAGTCAATGCTCTGAATCCATATTTTCCGGGACAAATTCTTTAGTAAAAATAGTTAATTAAAAAAATCTGATTTTTTTGTTTACAAAAACACATATATTTATTGAAAGTTTGCCAAATTTCATGAAAATACACATATCATATCAAAATTCTTTTGGATTACAAGGTTGGTATAATCCACCTACCCCCAAATGGAAAGAGTTAATACAGAAAATATCAAGACCTGTAATAAATCAAAATATATGCACACACATACCTGACTGTAACCACCTCATCCGGTCCCTTTACATTAATAATGTATATCACACAAGTGTGGTTATTGTATGGCTGAGGATATCCAGGACTTTTAATAACCCCATGTCGACCTGTGTGTTCCTCAATAGTGCACTTGTAATTTGAATCTGAAAAAATAATATATATACATTAAGCAAAACCACAGAGGATAATTTACTTTAAATGTTTCTATTAATTTAACATAAAAATTTTATATTACATTAAAAACAACTATTGTATATTAGAAAAAAAAATATTAAGATAATCTTAATTAGATATATAACATTCATGATCCTTACTAATATACTTGTGTCTCTAAATTCAAAGCCAAAAAGTCCTTAAAAATGTGAAGATGTGCCCTATTTCAGGGTGTTTTCTTTTCTCTCTCTCTTTGCTTGGGCAAAAATCCTAAAACAAAGTAGCCCATGTACATTATCGAGCAATTACCAGTTACCATATAAAATATTACAGTAATCAAGCATGCCAAGTGAGGGTAATGCAGGCCTAAAGATTTTAAAAAAAGTGCAAATGTGGCCTATTTCAGGGGATTCTTTTACCTCCCTCTTCACAGACAAAAGTTCTAAAATCAAGCAGCTCATGTACACAACCAAACAGTTTCCAGTCACCAAACAAACAATTACAGTAATTCAGCCAGCCAACTCTGGGGGGTGAATGCTAAAACACACACAAATGTATCATCTTTATGGTATGATTTTTTTAGACATATAATCTTCAACCTTTCTAAAGATGAGAGAAATAAATATTATCAATGTCTCTGATCCTACAAAACTAATGCAAAATAAATAGCTCATAGAATGTGATACAATTTTTCAACAAAGTAAGTATTATATGATAACATTATTATTCTACTTCTACAAAACATAATAAGCTAAATAACAACTTTCCTTGCATGATACTTGCACTTCAACTATTAAACCATCATTTAACTTTCATTCTGTGCAAAAAGTGATTAACAATCTCGCAACGGGTGCCCCTTTAAATGCTTTTCTGCTCAACTCACAGCATTACATTAAAAAATTAACGTTATAATATATGTTATGATTCAAAGTTTTATGTTATCCAAGTTTTAAGTCCTTTATTTCAAAAGAAACCTTTAAAAACTACTTAAAACTTCAAATGTATTACCACATGACCAACCAGCTATGAAAATTCTCTACTTTGGCACTTTGCATCTTCAATAATACAATGGCAGTACTGTAAACATATGTCTCCAAATGAATGCAGTTGAAACAAGCAATAAATTTTTTCAACCCTTGACAGGTGCCATGGTCACCTTCAACAAATTTGTTTGAGCTTTATAGCCTACATGTAGACGTTACATACACGTGTGTATAATCATTAGAAAGAGCTCATTTTACACTATAATCTAACAACAGTTATTTTCAAATTGGTACACAGTTGTAATCACGGAGTACATGTAACTGACTGTAGTATTGTTGTCTACTTGATCAACTATACAACTTATGGTTCTTCCTTACCTAAATATGTTATAGTTAGATACAGTTTAAATTTTATTTAGGTCTTACTATTATATTTTAGTTAATGATGTATTAGTCATGTTTAAAAATGCATAATTGAAAAGTTTAAACATTTTTTAAATATACGTCATACTTCGCGTCCATTCTCAAGGCTAACAATATTATGCGGTGCATGAAGATTTTGCCGAAGGGTTGTGCATGTCTGTCAGAGACACTGTAATATGCTTCAAGGGCACCACTGACTTGTGTTGAGATGAATAATAAGTGGTAAAGAACAAGAAAGGAAAATAAAATATTAAAAATTAACTATATGTGAAAAGGAAAAGACTTGGAATTTCGAATTTAACAAAAGGAAAATACTTAAAGATATTCTACAAAACATTAAAAGGTATGTATTTTTTTCTATTTCCAAATTTTAATTATTTCTTTGCATTGTACGTTGATGATAATAACTAGTCAGTGACATGGTAGAGAAAATGAAAAATTATATACAAACATTCACCTTAAAAACCCCTTATATTCTTTTAGGAGGTTCTAGAGATTATGCAAATAAAATATGAAAACTATAAGACAAAGAAAAGTATTTTTATACTTTAAATAGAAATCACCTTGCACTCAATCTGTTAAGAGTTTGAGTGCAAGTATCTACAACAGATAAATAACATATTTTTAGTAAAAACATTTAATTATATTAATGCCATTCTTTGTGTACAAGACTTACAATCTTTAACAAAACCTTACCAGTTTTGATAACATACATTAGGAAATCTCAGAGTTACCATATGTATTGTTGTACAAGTGAAATTCACAACTAAATTTTCACAAATTACAAGAGCCTGATGCAAAAGTGTCAAAGTAAAATAAAAAATAAAAGTGGCAGTCTACAAATCCATCCTTTCAAATATTAAAAATTCAATTATGGCAAAAAAAAACAAAAAAAATTTAACAATTTTAATTTTTTTGCAGCAGCTAAAACAATTACCTTATAATAATAGAACCAGTACAAACAAATCAAGACCATTATTTGTAGGCCTAACATTTTATCAGGATGAAAAAAAAGGGGAGTTTACAGTGTTAAAATTTTATCAGGAGTATTTTTTACATTTTATACAAAGTGGATATTAATATTTTTATAAGAACAATTATACCATTAATACAAATATTTATATCTACATTATCCAAATCAATTGTATCAATATTTGCACTTAAATTAAGCAGCTAAAATTATATAAAATAGCATATTAAAACTTAATTTTTTTTGTTTACCCTAACTACATTTTGAAAACAAGGCATATATATATTAATGATGTTAGAAAAATACATAGGTTCAAGAAGTCAATTTAACATAAAAGTACAATACCCTACAACCTGAAAGCTTTTGAAAGATGGACTTTTCTTCTTCAAGGGCAAACTAGTATATGTATATATTACATAACCTTAAGGGTATAAAACTGATAGAGTACGAAAATCACAAAACAAGTTATTTAACTATTCAAATGCTAATTTTTACTTTAAATCACTGTAGAACAATTATAAGCACGAGAACACATCAACATCTTGTACAACAATTGAGAAATTATCGTTTAATTTGTATCGGTTCTCACCAATCTGTCTTTAACAACAACCACAAACAATTAATAATGAGAATGTGATGAGTAGTGAGGAAAAAAAATACAGACTCCGATTATCTAAACTAAGCTTTAATGTTGCAGTTTCCCCAAAATGTTTAAACACATATTATGATAACATAGTAAGCAATGACAAAATATCAACAAGTATAAAAACACCAATGGCAGAATGAAGTTAGGTCATGTTATATAAAAAATCTTCCTACATATTTCAAAATGTGTTCAGGACCTTTTAAATTATGATATTATACATGCTAAAAGGTTAAATTGGAAATTTTTTATGTAATAAGAAAATAAAGAAATACGTAATCAACTAGCTTTAATCAACAAATTATCACGCTGTTTGTTCATGAATGATCACATAAAGTAACTTGTCTCAAACAGTTCACAATTTTTAAAATGATTTGAGAAACTGATCCTAATGGGAGATATGTAATCTGTATTTTAATGCCTCAGCAAGTTAGTAATAAGACAAAAGACAGAAGACTATCGAAACATCGTCCACTATATTTCTACTTTTATTTACAACAGGCATTTTCTGTCCATTCCAGTTTATTCATCATGAATACTCTGCATTAACAATCTATTAAAGAAAAGCCTAATAAATGTTTCAAAAATTGACGGTTAAAAACCATTTCTTCTGAACAAGAAAGTACACACACCTATTTTTATAATACCCAACTATTTTTTTTTCATTCTGTGTGTTTAGTTTCATCTCTAAAGTTGTGTACGTACATTTATCTCATTATTGAATTGCTCATAAAACTGAGATGAACTGATATGTCACTTGCAGTCGTCATGTCTTTGAAATTTCCTTCGAAGGTCATGGTTCTTAAAGTCTGGTCCAAAATGCAAGTCTCATCAAAAGTAGTGCCATCCTTCCCATTAATTCTGATGAGTTTTTTTGGTCGTAAAAGGAAATGCGGGTGGGTTAGGACCGATAAGTTGTCCTCAGAGTCTCTTGCCCTGCCAAAGTGGTCTGTGGATGAAAAAAGTCCGAGAACCACTGTTCTTAGGTGATTCTATATATAGGGCAGAAGCAGAGTTCACAGTACTTCCAATGATATCAACCCATCGATTTCAGGACCACTGCTTCTGTCATTGCTAAACTCATCACAATGTTGTTGTTTGTAGAAAAAAGATGTAATAGTTTCACCTGGGTCAAACTAAGTTTCCAGTATGCTTAACAATGCTCATGGGTGTTTCTGAAAGTGATGTTTCAAGCCTACTTGACAATGTTTTAGGCTTACTTGTTGATATTTCTGTGAGTGATGATTCCATGTTCAAGACTGTTTTTCTCAAGTTTCACATACTTTGAAGAATATTTCTTTGTTACCTTTTTAACATATTTGAAGTTTTGCAACTTTTGTTTTAACATATGTAGTGTGGTTATGCCTTAAGTTAGTATGCTGACATGTTGTTACGCAATAACTGCCAAAAGCATATAAAACTATGTTTTATCTTAAAAGAAAGCCATAAACAAAACCATTGATAAAATAAGAAAATGTTCATAAAAACACTTGATTAAATAAATTATAATTTTACTAGTAAAGAAAAAAAATACTTATTTTTATATAATCATTATATTTAAATTTGAGGACTTCTCAATTATGAAAATGATACATTTTTGGACTTTAATTGTGGCTAATATATTAAGCCCCCCCCCCAAAAAAAAAACTAATAAAAAATACTCAGATTTGTATGAAATATTTAATTACATATTTAATATTATACATATATATGTACACACACATACAATATATATATATATATATATATATATATACACACACACACATACATATATATATATATATATATACACACACACATATATATATACATCTTATTAGCATTATTCAATATCTAAATCTTACTTAAGAAATGAAAGAAAATAATTTCTTGTCAAACAATTTTGCCACTTTAATTCCAAGCCTGGAAAAATATGTAGTATTGTCAATTTGAGAAAATAAAATGATCAGAGCAAACATAAAAAATTCCCACAAACTGACAGAAAAATAATTTCAATTTTAACAAATTCTAATTTTTTTAAAAATAGCTAAATACAAAGATATTAATTGAAAGAGGAGAAAATTTACCTTCATGTACAAGATTTTTTTGTCCATGAGCTTCAGTAATCTTCCACTGACTGATCATAAAAACTGTAATGCATACACAAGCAATAAATATTTCTAAAACAAAACCAGAAAGTCTGTATAAATATTGGAAAAAATCAAAATAATGGTGAATACAGAAAAAATATGGTCATACATTTTTACAAGAATACACCAGTATAACAAGTTTTACCATACATAGATATTTATAATTATTTGCCCTTTTCTTCAGCATAAAATCCCAAAATAAACAAATATGCATTCTTTAACACTGTTCCAACACTAAAAAAATCTGATTATATGAATTTAAAAAAACAATAAATATGATGGTTGATTTTACCTATCTAATAATAGATTTTTTCCAATGGTATGGGCAAGTTTCTATGTTATATCATCTTATAGGCAAGTAACTGACATACGATAAAACTTCATATAAATACACAGAGAAGATTTATCCATTATTTCCATACAAGTCAGTTGGTAAACATATATGCTATATTGAACCTGGATGACAACAACCTCCAAGTCTATTCACTAAATTTAAATCCAGAAAATCATTATTTAGAGAAACTATTTTACTATTTGAATATTATAATTTCTCGTCTTACACAAAATTTGACACTGAACTTAAATTTGAGAAATTACTGCACTACTTTCAATTGTATTTATCTATATTTGTAAATACAGCTTCTGATTTTCTTTATAATCAGTTCTAAGTTAATTCATATAAAAGCTTGAATCAATCATAGCTAGTAATAAACAGTGACTAAATAGGCAAAGTACATATTTCAACAAGAATGAATTAAATTTGACAAGAAACTGATCCCGTTCACACAGGAATGATGGTTGGAAAAAAAAAGATGACAGCCAAATGGAATGGCCTAATTTTTTTTGCTGTAGTTTATAATCAGTCATACAGTTTTAAAAACATATATATTATTTATTATTAGTCAAGATGCTATTTTGAACCTGTCTCCACACCATATGTCTAGAGGGAAACAATGTACCAGCCCAGCTGCCAGCCTTGTACATCGTTATGCTTTCACTACATTACTACTTAGAGGTGCTATTTAATTAAATCCACAGCCTAACTATACATATTCATGTGGTACTGTACTAAACCTATAAAATTCTGCCAACATGATATAAAGTGTGATGGATGTTTCACCTTATACCACTGAAAATGACTTAATATGTCTGTAGGTTTTAACAATAACAACACACCGAGTCATACTCTGACAGGTACTCCAGCTAGTGTACAATATTTCAAATAATTCTTAATGATACGTTATGTACAGGTTTAGTCTGGTACAGAAGTACATATGTACTATAACCATTCTGTCTTTTTCCTTAGAAATCTCACAATTTTTTTAAGGACAATCCAAAGATGCTATTAGCAAATCTATTCAGTTGGATATTTAAAATTATAAATGTAATGTGCCACTGATTCATAATAAAAAAATAAATAACTTAAATCCACGAAATTTCTTTCCCTTGTAACCAATTTTAAGCTATTTCCAACAAAAACACTTTGATGCAACTATATTCCTTGGCTGAAAATTAACCAATTGCTTAGTTAAAATCCACTGATAGTCATAATACATTATCTTTAACTATGAATAAGATAACTTCCAACACTTTTGGGGCAGGTTTAATTAAGCAAGCTGCACTGATGCCAGTCGTTAAACTAATATCTTATTTTTATAGATACAAATTAATTTCCTTGTACTTTTAACATCATAAATTAGACTAGTAAAAGCTGATTAGTCACACTTACTTCATAAAAGGATATGGGTAAAAGAGCATTTTTAGAGTTGAATTAGTGTTTAAATTTATACTTTACAATTAAAAATGCTAAATTTATTTAGAATGATTTTAAATTCACACTAAGAGTACAGTTGTGTGTTGTTAACTTTATAAAATGCTAATTTGGGACAATATTACAAGGTATTACACAATACTGTAAAGAATGAATATTACTGTAGCATGCAATCTGGGGTTTGTCACTTGGGTTTTCTGATTGTATGGAGGATGTCAATGCTTTACAAAAAGATTTGTATTATTTGTTGAGTTGGGTGGACAATTAGCAGCTGACTTTCAATTATAATGTGTGCAAGATAATGCCCGTGGTATATAAACTTGAATTATGAGTATAATTTTTATGGGAACAACCGTAATAGTGTTATGGGTGAAAAGGACCTTGATATTCTAACTGATCAGTCTCTAAAGCCATCCAAGAAATGTGCTGTTGCTAGTAGTAGGGCAAATAGTATTTCAGAAAAAATAACCTAAAGAGGTTATAATGTCATTGTATAGATTAATGGTTAGGCCACACCTGGAGTACTGTGTTCAGTCTTGGGCTCCTTAGCTTAGAAAGTACATTAAGTTATTGGAAAGGGTTCAGAGGAGGGTTACCTGGGATGGAAAGGATGTCATATGAGGATAAGTAAATATCTCTAAAAATTTTTTTCTCTTGAAAAAAGAAGAGTTAGAGTGGATTTGACTGATGTGTTAAAGATTGTTAAGGGAATTGACAGAGTTGATTGGTTTGTTTTGAATTTTGTGCAAAGTTAAATGAGGGCTATGACAGAGTTGATGCATCATCATTTTTGTATCTAATGGTGAGAATAGTAAGACTAGGGGACACAAATATAAATGTTGGCAGGGAAGAAGCATTCTTCAGCTAACACTAACAGGATGTCTGGACTATGGAATGGGTGGCCTTCAGATGTAGTAGATGAAGTTAATCTAAAGAAGTTTAAGGTAAGGCTTGATAAATATCTGAATGATAAGGGCTGGCTCTGAGAGTTTTATTTTGATTTTAGAGTTTAGTGGATGGGTTGGCCTATATAGACCAATAGGTCCCTTGTTGTCCTTAAATTATATGCACATGTCTGTACGTCTAAGGCACTTAAAGTGAGGATAAATTCTACACCATACATGTAATAAATAAAAAACTCACCTGATATAAACTGGAACCATACTGAACATATGTATTTCAGCTGCATGTTTACTATGTACGTTTTTTTTTTCAATAGTTAATTCAGATGTTCCAAGGTAGGATTTTTTTACTCCTACCAAAGTTGTCAAATGCTGTAATAAAATAATGAAAATTACAATTTAAGAAAAATTAAGATTTAAATGTGTTAATTACTAGCTACTAATGAACACGGCTGTAAATCTTTATGGCTTTTGCTCTCAATGACTGTATTTAAAAATTTTAATATTCTCTTAATTTCTTACAAGTTATTTTAAAATTCAACAGTGAACTTGAATAAATTTACTTAACTTGTACAATTATATACCAGGTTATTAATGCTATAGCATCAAATAGCAATCGGCAGTCGTGAACTCTGCTTCTAAAAATGCTAAAGTCATAATCTATAACAATTCAAATATCCATGGACACTTTAAAACTTTTTTGAGGTTTTAAAAGTCATCTTATTAGAACCAAGATATTCTCAAATTTTTCCAAAACCCATTTCTTCAACCTATGCTGCTGTAAAAAATCCTTTCCAACTTTAAGGAAACTGGTCAGCTCAAGAATATCTTCCCTAGTAGAGCTGACAATTAGTGGTAAATGCTAAGAAGTTAATCATTGGGCTCATTAATTGATTAGTTAACTAACTGATTATTCTCACATGAGGCTGATAACTGGAATAATCAAAGTCGGTAATAATCAGAAACACTAATTGTGGCTAGATGATTACTTTCATGAGTTGTTACAACAACTGTTTAAGCTGAAAAACCTAGTTAATTGCCCAGATCTATGATCACCTTTAAAACAAAAAAGTTTTTTACAATTTAATCCACACTTTCTTCTTTTGTGATGAGAGACTGCCCTTCAAAAACCTATTAAAAGACACCTGATATTCTTGGCTTTATTTTAATGAATATAAACGTAAAAAACCTTCAAGAAAATCTCGCACCTTGTGCTACAGGAATGTTGAAAATTTTTCTTTGTCTTAGCATCAAAAATAGATTTCTGACTTATTCTTATCTTTATACATGTGTTCCCAATTATGAGTGAATTTCATGTTTTTACAAAATAAGCATATTTCATTTATTATAAGCTAAAAATTTTCTAATTGTCTATTTGCATGTAGGTAAAGATTTTTTATTTGGAACAAAAATATTTAGAAACATTCCTTTTCAGCTATCCTATGCTGAATCTAAAAAAAACAAAAACAACTTTCCTAGCATCATAACAATCTTCCCATTAAATTACCTGAACTTTCTTCTTCAAACTATTCTACAATTTTTGGAAGTCAGGTTTCCCAAAATTTGGGGGAAATGGCTCTTATTAATTTAACAACTAACTGCAAGAAAAACACTATGTACATTAAAAAAAAACTGATATTACGAATAACTTAAATACAATTTTCTCGTTTGAATGGCTCAGTAAATAATACCTTTTACTACATTTATAATCTTTATTTATGTAATCATTAATCTCTAACAAATAACTGGGAACTTGGACAACTTTGTATTAGTCACAATACAAATTTAGCACAACTGTTATTAGCTAAATATTTGCATGATTTAAGTACCAAATGTATCTCACAAGCTTTAAGAAAATTCTCTAGTCAAAGTGTGTATCTACAAAACTTTTATTAGGCTTGGACAATTTTCCTGCAGGTGATTTATATCAGTAGCAGAATGACAAGATTGAAAATACAAATTTATATGTTAGGGATGATGAGTTTGGTAGGTCCATATGCATACTTTCTCTTTTTTCTTTTAATTAATATTGAACAGTTTGAGACTTTTACTGAACAGGAACATGTAAAATGTTGTAAATAAATACATTAATTTGCATGTGAATGTCCTGATTAGTTGTTGCGCAGTAACAGAGGGATCTTTAAAACAAATTATATACTAGAAATGGAACTGGTAATAAGTTCCTCATAAAAATCGCATCAGTAGTAATGCAAACTGGGTAACAAGTGTTTCACATAAACATACAGTTTTACTGTATTGTGTTCCTTTTAGACAAACAATACCATTGGTTTTCCTAGATTCAACTTTAATAGCACACAACTGAAAGACCTTACATCATTTTTACTTCACAATAGCAGTGTGAAACATTCATGATTTGTTTCAGCAGTGGCCAGCGAAACAGATAATTACAAAATTTTAGTCTTAAAATGTGAAACCAGAAAGCAAATTTTCCTTACATGAAGGGTAAAATGTCAGAAAAATATACTTGTCTTTTTAATAATCTACTTGACCCACAAAACACACACACAATAAAGCAAAATATAACTTTCAGAGCCTTTCTTATATTTAACAGTGAACACACTCAATACCATGCCAATATCAGCTCAATCTTGCATCAAAGTGTTTCATAAGTTTGTATATGTACTTCATGTTTTATTTGTTTGTTTTTAAGCACAAAACTACACCATGGACTATCTATATTCTGCCAACCATCAGTATCAAAACCTAGTTTTTAGTGTTATAAGCCCTCACACTTACTGCTGAGCTACCAGGGGGCTGATAAAAACTGATATGGTGTTTAATATAAGTTATATCACTTCAAAGCTTTCTGTAATTTTATCACATTATGTATTCTTCTTAGAGCTAGCAGTTCAATTTTACTGGGCTTCTACTGTAGACAAATACAATGTAATAAAATGATTCCAATGATTACAAACTGTTTGTTAATCAGAATCAAAGGAATATTTATATCTGTGAACATAGTTTTAATATGAGATACAGAGGGATGCATTTTTTAATGTATGCATGGGTGTTAGTTGTTTGCATTGCAGAATCTTCACAAATTTCAGCAGCTCCCTAAAAATTTACATTGGGCATTTTTCTAGTAATAACACAAGCAATGTAAATAAAATACTTATCCAATAGGCAAATTATTATGGTAAAATTTGTTGTCCCTAGTATCAGGTAACACTACTTCCACACCCCTGTGACACACATTCACTGAACTGCATATTTCAAAAAAATGTATCAAAAGATTCAAACTTAAATTTAAATGTAACACTACTTGCACCTACATAAACTTGAGTTTCATCAATATATATTTCACCTTTAGGCTTAATTCTTTATCACGTTTCCAGATTTCTCACTCTTAGCCTGTATCAGGTTATAATTATCACTGTATCAGTATCACAATCAGTCACTCAATATATTATTAGTGTCACAATATATTATCAAATATTATTATCTTTGTTCCTTCTCCAAGTTCCTGCTATTTAATTTATTCAATTATTGCATAAACAATAATACTATTGAGTATTGATATTAATAGTATTTGCTCACAGATACCACACAAACCACCTGTCTTATGACGTGGTCAGGATAACTTACGATAAAATATTTTTGTTTATATTTGTAATAAAAGTAAATTTTAATGTCAAATACTTCCTTACTCCTGTGATATTAATATTATCAACACGTTAGGCCTAACTTGATTAGGTTTGAGTAATATATTTGATAAAAAAAAATATGCTCACCAGGAGGAACTCAGCCTCGTGTATTCACTACTAACCAAAAAACAAAAGAAAGGTGGTCATAAACTGAAAACATAAATAATAGGTTTTTATCAATATTTCATAACCTCCAGTAACAAGTACCTAGTTGTACTAGAAATAGGCTTACTCGAGGCCTCCAAGTTCCAGCCCCCTCCTCTACGACTTCCTGAATAACTTCAGGGTAAATACATATCAACATAATAAAATGAATGTATCGACAATCGTGGAAAAGACTCTTGAATAAAAATAGTATTTGTTAGCATTTTCAGAAAAGTTCAAAACAATATGTGTCAGTTGAAGCAGTGTATATAACAGGGTTAAAAAAAAGCTTAATTGAAAACCTAGTATCATATTCATAATCATAGAGCAGTTTACTAAGCTATTTATTTAACGTAACAATTTGTATCAACAATCTCTTATTACGATCAAAAATAACACTAACAACGTTGTTCTCGTGTAAAACATATACAGTAATTCTAATACTTATTAGAAAGTTTCAATATATATATAATATTACTAAAAAAATAATGATAAAATATTATATAAAGAAATAAATATACTTACATCAGGATCTTTTGAAGGTTAAAAATACTTAAATTCTGAAGAAGTAAAAACCCGACATAATTTGAGCACACGTATTTACTTGTTAGACTATGTTTTATCTATCTGTCAGTACCTGAGTTACCTTTTTTCTATTGCCCTAATGTTTAGTTCCCAGTTCACTAGGTTATAAGGAGACGATTTTTGTTAATAAAATCAAAATTTCAAAACTTTTTTTATTTTTTGATTGTTTCAAATTATCGTGTTATAAACCTCGCCTTCCCGTCTGTTAATTTAAATTCATGTAATTTCTTAATAGTATGTATAATGTAAAGACACAGGGGACAAGCAATAATACTCATAACTATAAATTTATTCTTTACATAAATTTTTATTCCAGCGGATCGCAACCTATAGATTGGTGGTTTGTGTGACCTTACATCACAATAAAACTAGAAATAACTTTTAACAAATCCTTCTTTACTGGCAATAAAGGGTTTTCCAACAAGAATAATACAATAGTACCTAGACAACACACCTTTTGTACTGTTCATCGCTGTTAACGATGCATTTTCCTCAATACTAGGTCTCATCAAGATATCAGTTATCATGGTACATAACGCATTATACTGGCAAAGCTCGGTTACTGAGTGAAATGTTTTATCGTCAGCTGTGTGTAGCACACAAGTTGTGCATTTGAGATTATATTGTGAAATTCAAGTACACTGACTGATGAGGATAAATATACAATTCTAAAATTAAGAAACTCTTTATTCATACAAATAAACTTTTCGTTTGGCTAACTGGCTTCTATGTTCACAGAATGACATTTACAGGGTGCTGGAGTAGAGAGAGAGAGGGGGTTTCTACACCAGACTAAGATGGGATCAAAACAAGAAATGGGATAAGAGAGAGATAGAGCAACAATCATGAAGATACCCCACTTTTATGTAAGACCGAGGTCTGCGTGGAGTATTCCACATTTCTTTACATTAAATCCATCAACGACTGTTTCAAATAAGTATATTTAGAATAGGTAAATATCTAACTTATGCTAACTTTCACAGTTATTTTTGTCACTCTTTGAAATAGGCTTAACCTACCCAAGAGGACAGACACAGAGTCAAGCTGACGCAAATTTTCATTAAATAGTCATTGTGGTGTTATAGTTTCAGTTGTTAAGTGCCTTCCTAGAAGTGGCTATAGTGTTAACTTTTTGCTTTAGTTAAGTGCGAGCAGCCCCAGTTTAAATCCTGCACGAGGGAGATGAAAAAGAAAAAAGAAAATTAACAAAAGAAAAACTGGCTACCAACTAACGCTTATTCCATGACACTCAGATAAGATCCTAAAATAGACGTTGTTTGTGATACTGGAAGAATGTTAACTTGAGTTGTTGAAAAGAACAACTTTAGTAACAATTGTTAGTTTCTTATCCTTTTAGCTCAGTCAACTTGTAAAGCATTTAGTTGTAATGCGAGTTGTTACTGCTCAAGAGAGATAGAAAAATTGAATTAATACATTGTGTGTAGCCTATCCTGAAGAGAGCTCAGTTGGGATGGCGGAGCATTTTTTGTGCACTCCAAAAAAATGCTGTATGCTAGAGAAAGATGATAAAATTTGAAGCTTTCCTCTAAAAGAAGACGCACATTTGGTGCATTGAAGTGTCTCGGAGGTCCGACCAGCGTCAAGAAATCAATGTTTTGGCTGGTACAAATGCTCCATGCAAATACTCGTGGCAAGACTCCTTGTTTCAGTTGAAACCGTACGTAAGACTCTTAAGAGGATATGTGAAACTTGCACTGTTTATAATATACGTTGTCAGGATAGAAAATAGAAAATTTCCAAAACTGATGTTAAGTATTTCAGAGTTTGTTCTTACTACACGCTAGAATCCGGGTTTCGATACCCGTGGTGGGCAGAGCACAGATAGCCCATTGTGTAGCTTTGTACTTAATTACAAACAAACAAACATACCACTTACGACTTTAAGACAGTCAGGAAGCGAGTATCTTTGTTGAATGTCTTTTAGGAGTACAGCTAATGTCTGTAATGTTCTAAAAGGACAATCTATTCCTTTGTTTTTGTAATTTTCTGAAGTATAATCGTGTATAGATATTTGAATATGTCTAAAATTCTTCAGCCTGCGTTACGAACACTTAAATCTCAAATATTTTATCATGATGTGCAATAAGTGTATCTTCAGCATGGCAATAAACTTAAACGTTGTCTTGAAAACCGACGTTCACGTCCACTGGAGGGCCTGTGGTAAGTTTTACAGGACAAGTGGTCTAAGACACCTCGCCGTCCTTCACCTGTTACAACGACAACTGTGACGTAAGGCAAGATCTGGAACGTCGTTCTTATAAGGTGCGATTAAACGCAATTTTCAAAGGCATACCTCAATTTGACTAATAAGGTTTTCAATTATTTTCTTATCATGGCATGAACACATGCATTATATGTATAGATATTAAAAGATCCCACACAGAAAACCTGGACACTTTGCAATAATAAATGCAGTAACTTTGCATTAAGTATTGTTGTCTACTGAATTCTAACTTTTGAATTTATTAGATACATGTTTATTGTTGCTGTCCTCCATCTTACAACATAGGAATCGTTACAACAAATATATGCAAAATTTTATTTTAAGTAAAATTAATTGTTCAAACTTCACATTTATTTATTAAACTACTGTACATATTAGTGCTGTGTGTCTGGTTGTTAACACAGCAAAAAACAAAATTACTGAAGTGCATGTACGATACCCACCACTGTCTCAGCGACAAGTCTGAAGGATTATAACACTTAAAACCGGGTTTTTTTATACCGGTGTGGGCACAGCACAGATAGCCCACTGTGTTACTTTGTGTCACACAAAACAAACAAACAAGCGTTTTAACGGCATTGTAACAAATCATTGGTGTTAATTATTTTACAGAAATGACAAACTCCTACTCTGTGATTAAATTTTTTATGTTGTTATTATACTCTATATTTTCTGTAGGGCTGAGGGAATCATTTTCACTTATCTAATTAAAGGCGTTTTTAAAAAATGTGAAAAATTAAATCTGTACAATAACCAATAGTTCTTTTTTTAACGATTTCGTTAACGTAAAAAAATTAAAGTTGTCTATTAAAAAATATTATTAGGGAATCTAAAATGTTTGACCAGTAGCAGAAAAGCTTGTAATAAAAATGTTCATTGTTAAAAAAGATTGTCACGAATCTGACATGAGTGAAACAAACGTTAGTGACCAAAAATGTCAAAGTTTAAATTGCATTTCACAGTCGTATAATCTCATCCGTCTTATACATGTATATACCGAAACAGTAAATAATAATAATGTTTTTATTAAGAGCAGGCGACTGTGGAGGATGCTTTTATATCCTACATGGCCGCCCCCCAGTGGGACAGCGGTATGTCTGGGGACTTACAACGCTAGAATCCGGGTTT